CCGGCGACAAAACATGATAAATGATGGTTATGATAGATCGTTGTGATGAGCACTCTTGTAGGCGACAGGGATGACGATGCATCATTGGCCTGAGTTTAAAAGAATCATAAGCATACTAAAATAACCAAAGCTTTCAATTATTAGAAGTTCTAAGACTAGTAAAATAATCGAAAATATTAGAAATATTCAAATATCAACGTGCCAAAATAACTAAAAATTCGGAGATCACCAAAACTATCGACAATCCCGAAAATATCGAAATAAAAAAGGTATCGAAAAATACTAAAATAAGAAATCACCAAAATAAAATATAATTAGAATTATGAAATATAATTATGAGTGTAACAAGTATCGAAACGATTGAACGTTTTCAAATCGGTCAGAGACACGCGGCACAAAAAAGAATTGTCTAGTAATGAAGTTGCCAGCATCCATGTGGAAGAACGCCCGGATAAAACAGTTTCCGATTACAGGAGTTTCCTCGGACGGCCTTAGGTTTCCGAGTGGTTGCGTCACACAATGCAATTGCGCGAAACACCGTTCCCATCGTTTCCCCGCGCTGCGAATGAAATCAACCAGCGTTTCCTTCCTCTTCTACGCTACGAACCGTGCACGTCCCGACCCTATACCTGATCAATTTCTTATCCGTCCCCGCCTCGAGGAAGATTCCACCTCAGTCTGTCTTCCCTGGCCACGGAGAAGAGGAAACTATTTTAGCGGACGCTGGAAATAGTCGAGTGCCCGAGGCTTCACGGGACATTGTGTAGAACGGAATTCGTAGGGTTTCGCGGGATTCAGTTCATGTCGTACGTAAAAAGCAGAATTTGAACAAGAGGTATCTATTTGCGTGACCTGTGATGACGGAATTAACACTTGACTGATGAGCTAGAGTCTCGGAGACTGTTCATCTTCTTAATACACCGTTGAAAAGTTAGGAACCGCGACGTCGGTTAGTAAAACAGTCTCTGTTTATTTGAAAACAACTTTTCATTGAGGATTTTTGTACACAATAAAGAAATATAGACGAATATTTATATATAAACGTTTTTGATTTTAAATATAAATTTAAAGAGAAACGTAGAATGGGACGTATTAAATATAAAAAAAAATGAAAAATGTATATCATTCGTGACATGAAATATGCAAATGGTTCTCGAACTTGAAATTGAATGGTTCGAAAATTATTGTGTTTGACAGAAACAATGTTTCAATGTTACTGTTTATTTTAATGTACATAGGACATTGATTTGAATGTTTAGTTATGAAAAACGTGGTAGAAGGTTACGGTACAAGGAAGAAGATTGAGATGCCTTAACATTCACCTGGGCAGTTAAAGGTGAATTAGGTATTTTTATTGAAGGTCAACAGTTTTTAGAGAAATTGTATTAACCCTTCAGATATAGCATAATTTATTATTGATTTGTGCTTTATTTTTAATTCTAGAAAGTAGAATAAATGTTAATCGGATAGATAATCGGAAAAATTTTTTTATCCCGATTCTAGTTCACAAGATCTATAAGCAGGCTAAGTTCCGATTTAACGTGAATTAAAAATGATCCAGCTTTGATTGCCGTCTCGTGCTTCAGCCTTCAACTGCGTCTGCTTGTCAATGTTTAAGGTTATGAAATATACTACAGAGAATTCGAAATCAATAGTAATGAATCCGCCATTCGAGGCCTGAGCGTCCTTGTGAAGAAGCAGTATTAAAAATAATCAAATTCTCTTCGAGAATAAAATTCGAAAATATAATATTACTTTAATATCCATTGATCGATTAAGGATGGATCAGGGATCAAACTATCGTCGTTGCTTTCTATTTCGAGATAACAGCACCGTCCAATAGAAAAGTCAATCTATACAAAATCCGTACAAAAATATCTTCATTTCACAAAAAACACAGTCAATCAATATTCCCCATGAATCTTCTCTAAACAACATCCACCGTAAAAGCTCATATTGCAAAGATTCTCCGGCAAAAGGCATCCGAAATTTCGCATCGTTGCAATATGTTACGTAACGCTGTCCTACTCGAGATTCCCGTTAACACGCTCTCCAACATGGTTACTCATAGAAAAACCTACGAATGCGTCTTCAGCTAGAAACCAAGAGAAACAATTCTCCTCGGGTTACCTCGGCAATCCATTGAATCCGTACATCAAACAACCACCGTTCACCGTCAACCGCAACAATCTCAAAGCCCATACATAGACATTTCAAATCGGACAGACCCAAACACCTCGCGAGATGCCTGAAAAGTAAAAAGCTTCGAACGAAGCTCACTGTCACGGCTCTCGAAGAACGAGATCACAGAGAATCGACAACGGTTCTCACGAGAGAACCGAGCAGTCCCGTCGATCGGATCGATCGGGTCCCGAGGCCAGCGATCCTCCCCAACGAACCGAAACCGAAATCTCGTTGGTTTTTGGAAACTCGGAACATAGGGGAGCGCGTTTACCAAAATCCACCGGGATCGCGAGCGGGACAACCGGCGTAGACCGTTTCCAAGGTCCGTTCGTATTGGTTCAATTCACCCGCGGGCCGCGGCGACACTTCCGGCGGAGCGTGATTGGCAAATCTGGCGGTCGCGCAATTTGTGATCGCTCGGTTTCAACCGGCGCGGCGTCGAGCAGCATGGTGTACTCCGTTTCGGCGTGATCTCCGGCGCGCCGGGAGACGGCGTCGGAAACGGAGGAAGCGGAAGTGAATGCTGCGCCGGTGTGCGGCACACTGCCGGCCGCCCGTTCGATTTTCCTGCGACTGTGCACTGCCGGCCACGATTTTGCATCGCCTGCTGCCACCCCCTTGCGCACGCTTCTTCCTTCTATTAACTCTCTCCCTCTTCTGCCGGCGCGTCTTCCCCCTTTCGCCCTAGCTGTTCACCACCACACAATCTCGTTACGTCTTCTTACCCTTTCTACCGGATTTTATGCTGTCCCTTCCCTGTCTTCTTATTGCATCTCTGTATTCGGCGTCTCCGGGGAGAATGTTTTTCTCGCTTTTTCGGTGTTTGTCGACTTTGACGCGGGTTCGTTGGTTTATTTCGAGCTAAAGCCGAAGCGATGAATCTGGAGGAGGCGGGAGGAGGGTATGGTTTTATGGAGGTAGTTGAGTGTTTTGATTTGACGTTTGTGTTTTATTAGACAGATGTGTTTGATACCTTGGGCTCTTGTGTCGATGAGATTTGATTTAAGATTTAACACGTTGACGGTGGTCACCGGTGAAGGTTTTAAATTCGTTAAAAACAACTGCAAGAAAATTGATGTCGAATAGAAATATTTGGTAACATAAGTTGCTAGATAGTAATGGAATATGTGATACCAAATTGTAAACAATTATTTTTAAGAACGTTTTCCTTTGTTGCGAAAGAATAAGTATTATTATAAACGCTCGAAATTCTCGTGCCAGTCAACGTGTTAATTGCTAGTTGATTATTTTCTAGCGTAGGTATTTAGAATGTCGTATTTATATCGTGTGTGAGTACAAATTTAGTGTTTTATAAGTGGTTTTAAGTAAATAATTGAAGTGTCGTATTAAGACACAATTGAACTAAATAACGCTCATCTAAGTTTCAAAGGGTTCAGTTTCAAACAATAAATTTTGTCACGATAAATATAGAATTTTCTGTTCTGAATAAATTATCTTTATATTTTTCAGGTGTAATTTGAAACATTAAGTGACTGACTCTACTTTTCAAACGTTTCCAAATATAAGCCAGGTAGTCTTTATTTGATCTTCATACGCATAATGTCAATGAATTTGTCGACTTTTCATGTTCTGCGGGATTATAGTAATCACTTTGGCAAATGGACGGCTCATAATAAGTGAAATACGCGAAAATGTCGTCCGTGAGTTTGTTTGCTCGCTGTTACTCAATCGTGCAAACATCGGAACGGACGCGAAATTTTGCACGTGGGCAGGCAAACCAGACGGATTAACATACAGGCCATCGAGCGTCCCGAATGTTAGCCGTATACCCAAGGGAAATTTGAGAAATTGTACGGTCAAATTAGGACATCTAGTTGAGTGAAACTGAATGGCGTGACTATACTATTTTAATCATTAAAAAAATTGTTCAAAGTAATACAGTTCTTAAAAAGTTTATTAATCGAGAGAATGAGTTCGTAGAGAACGGGAAAATATAAAGCACCATATTTTCTGTACCGTTAATTCTATCCAAACATTTCTATTCACAGTACATATAAACATTAACCATATAATAAAAAGTAATCACACTAATGCCTTTTTACATTCCATTAATGATACAGAAATAATTAACACCATTAATACCTTATCCGAGCAATCAAAATACCCGCGATTGTACAAACATTATTATTACACAATATGTTCCCGTAAATTCATTTTATTTTTAAAATATAAATCGACGCAATTTTAATTTAACTACATTTCCACCATTTCACAAATTAATAAATAACTCAATTACATAAATCCATATAAAAATACCATCCCAATAGAATAACAACTTCAATCACTTGTCGTATCAACGAACCAACCACATTTATCCACAGTTATTTATTCATCACAGTTATTTTCGTTCCGCAGCTACCACTATCAAAGAGTTCAACAAACCACTTCCACGTCTAGGAAACTAATTTCCCTCTTCAACTCAGATTTCCACTGCATTCCAACATTTTCACCCTCCCTTCTTCTTCACCCCTTCACTACAAACATTTTCCTTCGCCGCATCCACCGGTCTTGCTTGCATTTTTTCTCATCCGCTCGGATTTCCCTTCCTCCCCGTCCGTACGTGTCTGAGCCGCCCCCGCGCGCACCCTCCGTCCTCGTCTGTCTCCTCTCCGCAACCCCCTCGTTGCACTCGACGGACACCCCTGCTCGCATGCGTGATTCCAGGCCAGTTCTCACACTCTCTCTCCTCTGTTCTCTCTAGAGTAAGCCGGTCTGCGCAAGACGGGGCTTGTCGTTAGGCGAGCCTACCGACTGGCTCGTGTCTACGACCTACGACGGATCTACAGGGTGATTAACCCTTCACGGCCCGAACTTGGTTTGTAGCTGCGGGACTAGGGTGAATGTTATTTGATTCGATTGTATGTACGTAGTTTAACACTAGATTTACGGAACGAGTCAATTTGACTCATATTTAATTTTATAAACATTATTTGGTAAATGTTTGGGTCGATTTTGATTGACTCAATTACGTGACTATGGTTACTAATGATACATTTTTAAACATTTGATTTCTTAGATCTAAACGGACGAACATCAATCTTTCTGGGAACAATAGAATAAACTGTACAATAAGTGTCCGTAAATCTAGTGTTAACACGTTGACACCGGTATTGTGGTTCACCCCTTTGCACATTTGGGGGCGAAAGTTTTAACATTATTGAGATTTTTGAAATATGTGGAATTATTGAGATTATTGAGATTATTGGAATTATTGGAATTATTGAGATTATTGAAATTATTGAAATTATTGAAATTATTGGAATTATTGGAGTTATTTACGTTATCGAATGTATGAAATTATTGAAGTTATCGAAATGATTGAAATTATTGAAGTTATCGAAATTATTGAAATTATTGAAATTACTAATAGGTAAATTAATTTTCAACCACATAGTAGTCATTTCTGCCAACCAAGCCAATTCAACGAACTATACATGTAAATACACACCGATGTCAATGTGTTAATGTAGCCCTTTGATGAATTCTTTGACAAAATTTGAGGAGCAAATTAACAATATAAATAATCAACATAATAAGTAAGTAATAATACATTTTTTAATTGTAGCAAATGAATAATTGTTTAAGGTAATTTTGATATTACAAATCATTATAGCGAAAATTGGTAAAATACGTGTTTAGATGTTAGTTGTCTTAATATTCAATTATACTCCAATAGTCAGGCAGTTTATGACACTTTACAATTACATTCTTATAATTGTATATCACAATATGATTAAATAAAATAATGCTGACGCAAGTTTCGAAATGAACAACCGAGACCACTTCAGACCACAAAGGGTTAAAGCATCATGGTCACCCTACACGACTATCTAGCGCCGCGCAATTATTTGCTCCGTTAAAGAACCCCCGACAATGCGGTATAATTAATCACGAGCGTGTCGATGGGTTTCACTTTCTGATGAAGGGTTGACGAAGAGATAAAGGAATTCTGATTGTCTTTGAGACAGCGTGAAGGATTCCGCTGAAAACTCAGAAGGGAAAAGTTTCAAATAAATTTCCAGTGACGATGAAAAATTGCACGAATACATTACTCGATCAAAAAAATTGTATTTTCGAGTATATTTTTCCTCAATTAAGTCAGGACAAAATTCTATTACTGATTCACTGATTTAAATATTAATTTCATTCGAGTATCCATGCAAATGATTAAAAATTAAATTAAATTAAATCCGTAGATTAATTGAGTAATAATTAAAGACTAAAAACTAAAAATACAGAAAACATGAAAGGATAAGGGTTCATTCAAATTTTTAATATTGATATTAATGATACCTAAAAACCAAATAAAACGTTTACAGTCTATAACAGATTAATCAATCACGTCAGGGGTTGCTACACACAAAACGGAACTATCGAGTTAATATTCTTATTAGCCGTTAAACGGTATGCATCGCGTGCACGCACGTGCATCTTGCCCCAGTCAAGATTTCACTTGGGGTAAAAGAACAATAATCCGTTTAACGTTCTCCCCGCAGACGCGTGATTTGATTATAGTGTTACAGTGAAATTCCAATGATGTCAACGAGCTCGCCCCGCTGGCAATTCCACACCGGCGACGTTCTTTTCACCCTTCTTAGCGAACTTTCCTCCCCTAGCTGTTACGTCTCGCACGCCATAAAATCATAAAAGTTTAATGCGCGCGCGAGGGGACGTCGTTTCGCCGCTGGTAAAACTATACTAAGCGGAAATATTGTCTCTAGGATAGTTCAAATACTTCGGGTTCGCTGTCGTACACTGTTCATCATGCTCCAATGGTTAAACTCCGCGGATCATCCCCCCATCGATCAACGAAACTATGTGGAAGAGTTTCTATCTTGGCTTTCGTAAATTACTTTTTTATTTAACTCTCATCCTGGCTATTTTCTACTCATTAAAATCAAATATTACAGAATGATTTCAAAAACTGTTTAGATTAATTCAAACAATTGAATTATTTAATGGAGGTTTTTAAATTACGTTTTTATTTTAGTTGCTGATTTAATTAACTAGATCGGATTCATGATGGCATTCGATTAATGGAAATTTAGGTACTCCTTTGTCTAGTCATTTTCTATTTACTAAGGTTTCTGCAGCAACGGAGTCGTCAGTGAATCTTGCCAGAACACTAACTTTACATCGCCGCATCGTCAAATTAAATTTATAGGTTCATTTTCCTTGAACTAAGGAATCATTCATGCAGCCTTCTAACAGTTTACGAGAGATTCATTCGGACGTGCGTTTTGTAGAAATTGTTTCTTGACTGTTTCAACATTATTAATACTTTGTCCTTGCGCGTTACAAATTTATGGAACATAATTTATATCGTGCATTAGATTGTGAATTACGAATGATCCATGAATAGTCCATAACAAAGATTTTTACAATGTTGAGTTTTGATTACTGGTAATAGAGATACAGTTTCACGAATTGTAATATTTCTCAATTTCCGATTGATAGGGTTATAGGTCACTAATGATGACTCTTCGAGAATCCTTCATTTACAACGGGCACGCTCCAGACGAACTGTAAGAGTCAAGAACGTTACGAAACACCCGTAAATGTCATTAACCGAATGATAATTGTGTGCGCAACGGGTCTTATCTCATCAGTGGGTCATCAATGAGTCGCGCGCGACTATTACCATTTCCACTGTTAAGATGCAACAATATGATGAAACGTTCTTCTATCGCGAGCTAATCCATATTTATCGTGTGCTACGCATATATATCGTAACTTTAAGTCATCGGTGACCCACAGAGAACGTTTCCTTTCACCCGATGTATTCGTTAGAATTATCATTCCTCTTACGAAACAGTGTGTACTATAAACGATCATTATGAATTGTATTATTTTTCTGTTTAATTAGTAACACTGTAATGTTACATCGACCCGTGTTATATGAATATTATTTACAGATAGTACTTACTTATTATTCATCATTAATAGTAGTCAACTTTGAAGTTAGATAAAAATACCTTATCTACCATCAACTTTGTAATTATACAAGAACATATGCACATGCATGAATTTATAAATTGCCCATTAGAGGATACTGTATTCGTTATTTGATTGTGCATCAAACTTCGATCTTTACACTGAAATTAAGAAAAACTTGAAAAGAAAAGGTATCGACAGATATTGACAAACAATTGTTTTAATTACACTGCAGGTTTCTATGCGTTTATGGAAAATGAGAAGATTCATAATTGCACAGAATGTACGTGATACGAAAAGATATATATTTATATTATTAATTATAGCATTAAAGAAAACCATTTTCTATCGTAATTCTATCTTCTGTTTTATTGTACTATAATTCTAGTTTCCTAATTAAATTCGACAAAACTTGAATGTCTACGGAAACCCACGGTCTAGTTACGATCGTTGTATGGAAGATACGTGAACAAAAGCGTGAGTCACTGTATACACGCGAACCACTGTCGAGGATTCGCAAACAGGGCGAATAATAAACGGTGGATGTTTACTGGAATGACATCGAGAATCGTGGATTAGAGTCTCATTGATCCGCGCAAAAAGACATCGTCGGCGAGTTCGAGTCGATGTAACAGTCCAAGCGGAAGAGGGTGGATGCAGGCGGCGAAACGGAAGTGCGGCTGCGCGAACCAACGATCGGACGGGGCGAGAGCAAAGAACGAGCAGCCCCTTAACGTCGCGCGATGGTACAATGTAAGTGCTTCTAACGGAGTTGCCTATTATTCGAATTATTTCAATTGAATATTTACTTCAGATAATTAACCCGCTGAATTTTTGCCCGTTTAAACGCCTTGTCATGGCGCTAATTATTCATTGTCCACGGAAAATTATGCCGTCTATTATTCTAGTAATTTATGTATATTTATCCGGATGAATGTTTGAATAATTTTGAGGGAATACCGAGGCGTTATTTCATTACGCGTTAACAATCGGTTTAACAAAAAAAGACTAAGCCTTTAAAATGTTAGTTATAATAAAAAATTAAATTGTTTACTGTTTGATCTTTAAGTATATTCAATTTTAACATTTACTTATTGTCTGTTTACGAATTTTAAATATTTAAAAATGAATGATTTATTCACCAACACTGTTCATTCCATCGGGATACAATTTCAATTGTTATTATCATCCTTTCATTCATGAATGGAAATTTTTTCGAACGCTGACTTCGAATACTATGCACGCGAAATATGCGTGGAATGTATTAGCAGATACAACCGCAGCGAAAAGTAAATGAAAGAAGTAAGTTAAACCGAAAGGGGATGTTATAGAGAAATCACGTTAACCCTTTTAACTCTTTCGCCGCGTATACACCGCGAACCAGAAAAATCGCCTGCCAGATGGGAAAGTTGAATATATGCGGGGCAATGTTGGCAACTGGGCTGCAAATCTGTTCCCAACGAGATTAAAAGAAAAAAAGAAAGAAAAGAGAGAAAAATTATGCAGGAAAATTTCGCATGACACGATTTTTCCGCGACTGCACCGCTGCACTCGCGAAACGTTCGAGCGTTATTTTTCCTTTCACATAATAGCTCTCGCACCTTTTTTTTCAATTCTCTCTCATGTGAACCGTTTTCTTGGCTCGTTTTTTAGTTGAATAAATGGTGTAACACTGAGTCATTAAAAATTCCGTGGTTTCCAAGATATTCGAAACTGTCGGTTATGTGATACTACCGCGCGACGTTGCATCATCGAACAGTTGATGTTTACCAATACAGTATCTACGGTTCATCGGAGGTTCCGTCTATGCGCGTGAAAAATCAAATATTTTGCGAACTATCGGATTTTCAATTACTTAGCGACATTAAAGACAGAATGTTACAATGCCAGCCTTCCGAGACGATTTTTTGTATCATTCTTTTCGTGTTTTTACGATCGACAGATAATCGACTGGTATGGTAAACGATTTTCTATCGTGTGACTGGTATTAACGGTACAGTTATGAAACTATTTAAACACTGCCTACTCTATGACGTAATAGAATCAAATTCTATCGTTTATTTTTGCTTTTCAAAATAACGTGAAAAATATCGGGAAAAGTTATTGCATTATTAAATACCTTGTCTGCTTTAAGGATGGTTTAAACATGTTTAGATATTTATAATGTCACAACAAAATAAATCGTTTCATCTAAAAGAGTCCATAGAATGATCTATAATTTTTGCGTAACTTTTACCCGATGAACCTTTACATGATTTTCAAAGACGATCATTCGGTCTCTTTGTTCGAAATGAACTTTCTTATAAATCGAGAGCGATAAAGGAGAACGGTTTTCGGGATTGCGTTCAGCGCACAGAAATCTAAAAAAAATCTCCCATCGAACGCTAGAAAATAGAGGATTCAGATTGGTCGATGAAACGTGGCGAATTGGGAAGGGTTGGAATCTGTTACCGGGTGCAGCCAGGAATTCGGTCTATGACCCGGCCCTGTATCATCGATGAAAATGGAAAAGGCGTCTGCGCAGAGGAACGCCCGCTGGAAAACGAACCTGTCCCCGATACGTCTCCCTCCCCCTTTATTTCCCGCCTTTGTACTCCCGGTTTTTTCCTTACCCTCGTTTCCTTCGCATCGCTTTCCCCTTTTTTCATCCGCGACTTTGTCTCGACCCATCTTCCTCCCATCGTTTCCTCTGGAACACCGGATCGCCTCGGAAGAGGGCAGTTTTTCATTTACTCGATACAATTGCGCTGCACAATCCCTATCCCGAGGGAAGGGTTGAAATTCCAATTGACTTTAGTAAACCCTGCTGAATTTTTCGGCTATCTTTCGATTAAATAACGTTTCTATTTTTGCAGCATTAGTGTATTCGTTTAAACCTTTTCCGTTTAAAGTATCTTACTCTTTTTAATGATACTTTGAATTTCAGGGAAATGGAAGAAAATCATTTGTAGTGCTCCTGCTTTTGAAATATCATTTCGAAGGTGCAGGTAAAATGAATAACGCAGTAGATTGTACATATCGCATTAGATTTGCCAAATTGAAAATTCGAAACAGTAAAACTTCAATTTTCGAAAAATTTCTCTCGCAAATAAAACAGTTCACCAGTCACCCTTTAATCCTTCTAAACAAAAGAGAAGAAGAATTTGTTACGAATACATTGAAGGAAACGAACGTTAAAGGCATACTTTCCTAATGTATAAAACCATCAATAATAATGAAAGCTGACTAATACAGTTGAACATTTACATTTCACTATCTAAAAGACAGCAATCCACTCCACTTAACTTCTATCGATAAGCAAATGCAAAATTCGCTAATTAGAGGGTTAAAAAGCATTTCCAAGACTCGGTGGCTCTTTATTGAACGGTTAATTAATCCAGCTATCCCCTAAATTGCAGTGCTGCTACCGTGGAACGTCTGACAATCCCATTAAACGCCTAACAGGCACCGCTTCGGACCGGACTATCGTGTTCTGCTGCCCGTGCCAGGGTTAGCTTTTACATAACGCGCCCACGCATCCAAATTGTTCCGTAAGGAACGCCGTTTTATCTATATTTACCGCGCTTATCTTCCCCGCAGTGTGTATCATTGTGCGTACATTAAGCCGGACGCAGTCGGGGCCGATTTTATCGGGCGCATCAACCACCGCCGAGCACCCGCTGATGTCTTTTGCCTGTCGAATAAAATCGGAGATCTAACGTTTCCTCCTGGGCGAATCAGCACAGCCTCCACTGAATTCTCGTGATTGTCGGGGCATGTTGTATGGAAAATCCCAGGGCACAAGAATTTTGAAGCAACGAATCGGGTGAATGATAAAGGGATGAATGGCGCAGAAAATTATAGGAAAAGGACACTTCAGTTGATGTAGATTGTGACATATGTTCACTGATAAATATTTGCCTTGGTAAAATGAAATTTAATGAATGTAATAATATAATATATGCATGATAAATGTTATTGAAATTAAATATTGCAATAAATATCAGGATAAATGTATAATGTATAATTAATATTTGCTTTGAAAATGAATTAGTTGTCTAGGTTCGAATGCTCGGTAATTGGTTAATTGTTTTCGAATAGTTTTATCACTGGTTACTTCGACAGTGATCAATTGAGAAAATTTAATGTTTTCGTTAATATGTACGATTTGTAGAAAGGTTAGGTTCGATTTCAAAGCTTGAATATATTATTAACTTTTTTATTAGGGGTAGTTACTTAAAATACTTCTTAAGGTCATTCAAAACGGTGCTCTTCAACTTTTATGAGGCTTATGTATGTAATGTGACTATTATTCATATTAAGAGGGTGAAAATGGCCTTCGAAGCTAGGGGTTGCGAAATGCTGGTCGTTTATTTCGAACATTACTGATCGTAGAAAAAAGTTGGAATAGGGTACACGTTTTGTATATAAATTATGATGTATGATTACTGTAATGACCTGTGTTTTAAGATACTTTGGGATACATTTTAACTAGCTCTTGGAAAGCCAAATTATTTGATGGGCTCCAAGCTCGTTCCAACACGTGTGTTTCACATAAAGTTATTTTCAGTTTCTCATACATCTTTTAAATAGAATACGTGAACTGTCGTGTCATGTACTGGCCGACAAATTAATTTTTTTCACTTTAAACATGTAAAACGAATACCGAAAATATTATTTTTAGGAAAATATGAGAAACTATATTTATGTATGAAGGAAACGTAATATTTTGTTTAGTATCTTTCGTCAAAATTTCAGGAATAATTAGTGACTCGCATAACAAAAAATTAAATCGACTTTTTTATCATTTTATTTTGTTTCTGTCGTTTTGCGAAGAAAGTAGTTCTCCCGGTTTTTTACGAGGTTTCATGCTTCTCTATGCGCCATTAAACACTATTGATCGCAACTGAGCTTATCGTTGCTAGAATCGCAGATAAAATCGCGATAAAATGTTACGAAAACATGTTTCGCCAGTCAACGAAACAAAATTATGTAAAAATCTCTTCAAAGGAATTAAGGAATCTACTTTTTAAAAGTTAATTTCAATTATATTCCAGGAGTACACGAAAACAGATAAACAAGTATTAATTCGTTAATTTATAAATTAAATTAATAAATCATTATACCAAGTTCCAATAAAAACTCCACAAAATTCACATTCACTCTTTTTAACACTAAAACTACCAGACGGATCAAAATTACCTATTTCTGGTTTCTTAATTTTGCAATTATTAAAAGGATAACAGATGTTTCTGTGAAACATTATTGAGAAAATTGGTTTAGGAATACGCAAACTGAATTATAAGTCAATTAATGTCTGGATAGATGCATTCTTGAAGTTTCTGTGCAGGAATTTCGGAAAGTTAATTTACCTGTTCGGTAGTTTTAGTGTTAAACGAACTTTTACACTAATATTTATTATGAGGGTATATTCTTCAACAAGTAAAGAAATTATTCCCGAGCATTTAAAAAAAATTTATTTTATTAACTAACACTTCATT